GGTTCCTATTACGAGCGAACACGAATCGGTGTACCGAATGAATTCGATTATATGATCAATTTGTCCGAGATTCAACGTCTCTGTACGTTTTTCGATGATGTTAACTATCCATCTGGCTACGGTCGGCTGTATCCGTTGTCGACGAATGAAGCACATGAAAAACTTCGTCCCTATTTAGAACCGACTATACAATGTGTCTCGTCGGTGAAGATCCGCAAACGATTCTATCAATTGCTCACTTCCGCCCGCGCGTTTGTCATTCATCAAGAAACAATACAACAATTCAAACATCTCAAATTCGAATGGACTAGTGGCGATAAACGCTGTGGCACAGCCATCCATGCTGAATGGTATGGATCTCGGTATGCTTACTTGACGATTAAAATCGATGTGGTACCCTGTTTAACCGTGTATCGGTGGCCACGTACGGCCAAAGTCACTTGCCCTCTGGCGAAACCCGAATTTCAAATCATTGCACGCAGTCCGAAACCCGATCAAACCGATTTCTGGCGTATCTCGACCTCACGTACTGAACTTGTCAGTTTTCTTTCCTTAGTCGACGAGATCAAAGATGCTTATTTAAGTTTAAAAACTTTACGTTATATCAATCCGTACGAATGTCGAATTGATAAAGTTACTTACGTAGCTGACGAACTATTGACATCATACATGATAAAAAGTGAATTTCTACATGAAATTAGTCGATATCCTCAATCCCAACAATGGATCAAGGGTGGACTTATTCATCGTGTGACGAGTATTCTCAAACGATTACACCGACATCTTCAACAAGGATTGATTCCTTCGTTCTACATTGAGAATTACAATGTGATTGATGGAGATGACTATGCTCGATTACGTTCGTTCGAAATCAAATATGTCTGCAGTCTTCTCAAACAAGTCCAGGAGAAAGCAAGAACGATGAATCGACGAGTGACTCGTAGTCAAACATTTGCTGCGAGCGAGTCGATCGATCCGAGTCCACCGCTTCGGGTGCGAGCATCAACAACTTCGTCGTAGGAGACCGGAGTATATGTTTTAGAGAAGAAACATAGAATTGAGAAAAGCTTCAAGAAATTTTCGTGTTCCTAGAGATCCAGACATTTGGTAATACTGTTTCACTTCTTGAGAGTGTAGTTCTTTCTCCTATTGAAACCAAGCACGCGTTTCTTATATTTGATGCTAAAAATTCGTCCATCATAGTCAACTTCGATCAAGCTAAGCAATGAGAACGTGTAGTTATTGAGCGAAAGCAAGCAACTGCATTTGTTGGAGTATTTAATTCGACTGATGCGATCAGCGTCAGCATTTTTTTAGTTGTTAGGTAGAATTCTTCGTCTTTATTGTCTTTGTCAATCAGTTTTTTGCCAATACTAACCAGATTGTTTGTATTATTGCCCCACATTTGCTGATGTGAAATGATTCATGACTTTACTTGAAGCTGTTTGGAAATAAGTTGACTTGTGACTTGGTTGTATGAGCCAAGTCATTCTCAAGTCAACAGTTAAAATGTAATTGAATACTCTATGCGCTGTTAATTGCCTGTTTCAGAGTACCAGCTAACTATTGGATTAAAGAAATATATAATTCGTTACATTTTGTTATATTGTAGACGTGTTGCAATGAAAATAAAATTTTCCAAATACATAATCAAGTCTATTAATTTTTACCGGGCAGACATATTTTTTTGAATGATTAATTAGGGGGAAACGGTGTACTTTTGGACTTGAAGTTACTTTGAGTTGGTTGTGGGTATGGCGTGGGTGAAGGAATGAAGTACAACCACAGTAACACCCAGACCCTCAAGCATCGATTTACTTTGATTATCATGTATATCATTTTCTTCATCAACACAAACCGAAATTATAGGCTTCAATCATTGATGATACATTATCAGTAATTATTTTAAAAACTTTTTCTTTGTTATTAAAACGTTGAAGTACTTCTTCAGCTAGTTGTTGGATATTTTCACTGGCATACGGAGACTTGAAACGTAAAAAATCAATTAAATAAGCTTGTGGCATCATCTTAATATCAATGAAATGACACGTAATACCTAAAAAAGACCGACAACGTCGATCGGACCATACATCAACAGTTAATATTACATGATATGAATACTATTTAATGTTTCATGAATTGTTTTGAGAACTTTGCTCGTAAATGAAGAAATAACATCACGTTTTCTTTTTTTTTGTCGATATAGGTTCACATTTAAAGTTACACCCTGTCATAAAATCACGAAAACCAGGATTTTCGACTAAATTTAATAATAAATTACATCGAATAATTAATTTTTTCGTAATAGATACAACAATTCAACCTTGTTTATATTTTGTAGTTCTTAAATCAGCTGCTACTCAATTATCATCAAAAACATCTTTTTCTTTCGTTAAGCATTCATATTCACGAGACAAAATTTTCTCATATTCACATGAATGTACTCGTTTTAAATGTTTTAAAAAATTACTAAATACACCATTTTGATCTTTATAATTTCGGTTACATAATTTACATAATCCAAAAGTTCCATTATTATCAAAAGGCGAAAAGTCAAAATATCCTCCAATTTTCAGGAGTCATTTAATTATGGGTGTGGGTGTGGGTGTGAGTGTGGATGTGGGTGTGAGTGTGTGGGTGTGGGGTGTGGATGTGGGTGGGTGTGGGTGTGGGGTGTGGGTGGATGTCCGTGGGTGAATGTTGATCTTGACTGTATTCACACCCACATCCATACCCACACCCAATGTTTATATAGATATACACCTTGGGATATAGAAATTTTTATAATCAAGAATAAACCAATTTATCTAAAGAAAAATTAAAAATTTATTATCATCAATCACATATGAGATGTTTGCTTTACTATTGGACAAAATCAGTTCATTAAATTTTCATACACAAATGAATTAACAAAAAACAAATCTTTGTCATCCTGAATTTTTACTTTATGTTCTATTGAAAAAGTTAGCTTCTCGAAGTTCTATTGATGCTGATTCAAAAATCAGATATTATTCTACTTCTTTATCAAAATCAATCAATGCGAACAGATACGAAGGAATCGGTATAAATATTGCAGATTTTCGTGATATTCGACTTCATAGTTCGTCATCAGAATCTCTTTAACTATGGTATTTATATTTCTTACATATATGAGCAATAAATCTTCGTTTCAATTATTATCAATTATATAGATATTTCGATTTTTGACTATTTTTCTCTGATTAGTTTTAAACTTATGCATTTATCGATAACATAGAGTAGTTTTAGAAAATTTTATGCTTCTCTTAGGGCAATCAATAAATCTTTTTCCTATCATAAAAATTTTCTTGAATAAAATGGTAACCTATTGAATAATCTAAACAAATCTGTACGTTCTATGTAACTGTAGATTTTTTTTTATTTCAAATTTTTATTCATAATTATTTAATTTATGATGATATAAAAATTGATATAGCCTGATGTTTAAAAGAATCAATAATAATGTTCGAAAGTACGCGCTTGGTAATATAAATCATTTGCTTCGAGCTACCTATAAAATTTATTCATTGATGGCGAAGAAAAACGAGAAGTACATGCACGATGTTTCATTGTAGAGAAAATGTCTTATTATTCAATATTTTGATTTATATTGGATTAAGTCAATTCTTGACAAATAAAGTTCTATGATTTTGATTTGATATTTTATTCCAAAGAACGACTATCGAATATTGAAAACTTAGCTGTAGTCCAAATATTGAGCACTTTAGTTCACTATTCAATACTCGTTTATAATCATCTTGATTAGAATTAAGATTTTCATTCGAAAAGAAAAAAATGATTTAATACTTTCAGCTACAGTTGATCTGTGCGTTAAAATACAGAAAAAGTGAGTAGAACTTGCTTTCATAAATTTATATTTATCATTCGAATAATAAAATGCAATCTATTTATTTCGAAATATATTATTTATCACTGTAGAGACTGCTGAATTTTATCGAAATAGGAGGTAAGTAGATTGCTATTATCTAATTAATGTTCATTCTTGAAAGTGTCTTTGTTAAGTTGCATTTAATTAATAGAAGAGTAAAGTTCCATCTCTATGAGAGTATCGAATTCACCAACTCGCTGAAAAATCAGAGGGTCATTTGACTATTATCACCAAGAATATTTGTCTGAGCAGTTCTTTCTGATTTACTTTGCTGATTGCTGATTCCTTAGACATTCATCAAATATTTTGTGTTCTCTCGGCGACTTACCATTATTTATTCAAAAGAAAAAGCGCCTTTGGCGAGTATACTTTGATAATAAAAAATATGGAAAACAAAAAACCACAATAATCTATTTTAATTGAACAAGTGATCTGAAATAAAACGCTTTTGGATGAACTATCAATATCATCTAAAATAGATATATGCATAGAGTGAGTAAAGTCTCACTTACTGAAGGAAAGTTAATGAAGAGCGATTTTTACTGACAATCAATCTTTCGCCAACGAGAATTCACTAGATCCGTATAGCCTTCTAAAGGCTCTCTAAATGAGTACACTCACTTTTTTCTATTTTCTGTATCATCTAGAATAGTAGCTGTTCATTTTTTGTATTATAATGATAGGATGTGGGCGTGTGTGTGAGTCTAGTCGTCGATCAAAATTAATTTACATCCACCCTATTTGCAAATGTAATCATACCTTACATCAGGATAATTTATTAAAGAATAGGTCATCATAGTGAATATAAAGGTTTTTTTGGATTGTTTGTGATTTTTTCTTTCATATATCACAGAAGAAATGCAGCACAAAAGAAGAGACGAGAGGTCAGGATAGGGTCGAGCCAAGAATAAGTAATAAATAATACATTGGCAAAAGCATTTATAAGTGTATGCGAGAGAGAGAAAGAAGAAAATGATGCAAGAGTGATCATTCTCTGTGGTGAATGTATGATTGACAGATCCATTATAGTGTACCGATTGAATTTGTAGAAGGGACGAAAGGCTTTGTTTGTAATCAATATTAAGTTGAAAGTTTAATTGATAATGCACATTGTCGATGATCGATTAGCTGGTTTTTCTTTCTCTTTCTCATCATCTGTTTCTGGTTTGCCGCTCAAAGCCTTCTTCTGGAGTAATTCATTCAACATCTTCTCTTTTGCTGGATCATATAGAGAAGACACTGTCTCAAACGGAGCAAATGGACAGATTTCTGCCAGTTGAGTGAATAGTTGATTTGGATCGTAGAAAATTTGCAACTCTTGAATTTTCATATCGGCAGCTACTGTCATTTTGCACATTCCATATATATTGATCATTTTCTTTGTTGGATCTACTGTATAGAGATGACCCGATAATGACCGACATGAAAATGAATCGGTCATTCGGCCAAAATGACGCCATCTAAAAGTGATATTTGGCGGACCTGAATAAACTTCAAGTAATTCCCAGGCAAAACCTTCTCCCATTGCATGTAGAAATGCCGCATGACCTTCTTCAAATGAGATTAAGGACGAATTGTAGTATTGCGAATCACCAATTAATGCACTATAAGTACCAATCTGACTCATTTGGTGAGCTGTAAATGGTTCTTGACCGTTGCATGAGAAACGATAATTTTCCAAATCAATCGTTATCCATTGTCGAGAATCCGATTTATAACTCACTTCTGAAATAATTAAAAATCATTATCGAAAAGAACCTAAATAATACAAATATCTTGTACTTTTACAGAGTATACAAAACGTGACCTATTTTTCAATATGACTTGCCATCATTGCAAAATGAAAACAGAATCGAAAAAGGTGAAGAAGAATGTTGTAAAACGATGTGTTTCTTGTTTCACAAGAGATATTGCCCAATTTTTCTATTTCACAAGAATCATAATAAGTTAATCGCTAAACTTGAAGCTTGAATTGTTCGACATTTAATTTAATCATGGAAAAAAAAACAATATTTTTGCTCAAAATCTTCAGAATATTGATTAGAATCAAAATTTGAAAGAAAATAAATATAAAACTCAGAATCAGCATAACAAACTGAATATATTGAAAAAGAAAATAGCTCAGATTTATTCGTTCACTTTGAAGTTTGATGAAAGAATGGAGACATTTAAGAAGCCGATGCAGCTCATCATACATTTTTAAGCTGTATTCAATAAATTTAGATACAGAACAAAAATATGCATGAGTTGGCATACATTTTGGTATTAACTTCATAAGATTCTGAATGAAATAAACTCACTTTAACAATCCAGAAAGTGATATTTTCACCACTGGTCTCTCGTTCCAGTATGACTGAATAATCCGAAAGATTACACAGTATAATCAATTACCCTTGTTGCGTAAATTCGATAGACCATTTTTACCGCTTAAATTTCATTTATGATCTACTGTTCGACTGGATGATATTACTTTACTGATCATATATGGTGTACGCGCCTGGTGCATCTCTTTTTCGAATTCGCATTTTCTCTGAAAACTGCGACTGTCTAGAATTCTGTTCCTTTTCATTGGATAGCTATCTTCAGATGCTCCAAAACTTTACGATTTCTCAGTTTCAAAAACTTTGCCATTAGACACAATAAATGGAAAATCATTTTCAAAATACTATTTTTGAGCTAATTCAATCAAAATTGAAGTGTAACGTTAAATTCGATTCCATATTGACGTTCACTATGAAAAACGGAGTCTAATACACAACATTTGATGTTTACTCCAAAGTTTTATAAGTACCTTCACTGAACATATTTATTACTTCGAAATTTGGTCACTCTATACGTCGTATGCATCAATCCTTCAAATGTAATCAAATGTTTAATCTGCCAATGTAAATACTCAATTATTCAGAGTTCATTGAGACCTACATGATACATTATTTTAGTTAGCGCAAGATTAGGTCTTCATTAGGGTGGCATATCTTGCTGAAAATTTGACAAAATCGAATCGAAAAAGCTGACAAAATAAATATCCAATCGTTCTCGAAATCTTAACATATTTGTTGGAACATAAAAGTTTTTCTAGAGATCAGCTTGCAAATCTCATGATTTTAGAAGCATAATTCCGTTTCTTCTATATCCAATTTGACTAGATCGAGTTTAAAAATGTATGATAGGCTGAATCAGCTTCTTAAATGTTTCTATTCTTTCATCAAACTTTAAAGTGAACGAATAAATCTAAGCTATTTTTTTTTCAATATATTCAGTTTGTTATGCTGATTCTGAGTTTTATATTTATTTTCTTTCAAATTTTGATTCTAATCAATATTCTGAAGATTTTGAGCAAAAATATTGTTTTTTTTCCATGATTAAATTAAATGTCGAACAATTCAAGCTTCAAGTTTAGCGATTAACTTATTATGATTCTTGTGAAATAGAAAAATTGGGCAATATCTCTTCCGAAACAAGAAACACACCGTTTTACAGGATTCTTCTTCCACTTTTTCGATTCATTTTTGATGATAAATATTAAAAAAGTAACTTTAAAATTCGAAAAGAACTAAAACTCTCTAGATAATCAGTATTCTCCTTTTAGATTCATTCGCTCGAAAACAAATTGAAACCCTTATAGTTTTGATCAATTTCTATCTAAACATTTATTCGAAAAACAAAAAAACAAAAATCTGTTTTCATTTTGCACTGGCTGCA